TGTTCCATCTGTTTTTAGATGAATATCCTTAAAGAACCTACTTTCCCTATGGCAAAAGGATCTCAGCGCTGCAGCGACTGAGCCCAGCCCTTAGGGCCTGAACCGCTGTCACATGTAAAACGCCTGCACCATGGTTCACACAGTCAGTCCCTCTTCCTTGGAGCTTCAGTTTCCAGGTCAGATGTCACCCAATGTGCTCATAACTGCAGGGGGAACAGGTGTTTATCAATGAACCATAGATTCGGATGTTTTTGCTTTACCTTCCATGAAATGGAATTTACAAGACTGTACACATAAATGCCTTGGGTTTATGTTCATTTTAGATTTTTAGTTAACCAGCAGTAGTTTGGATCACTCTAATATCTACTCCAGTTAAGTGCTTAACATGGACGTGTGATGTTAAGGGAATCTATATTTTTGTGGTTTTGTTGTAGTTTGCACAGTTAAGTATTTGGATAGTAAATCTTTTGTTTATTACTTTAAAAGAAAGTCCCATGAGTGTGGGTTTTTCAGTTAAAATTAGATTTAACTTGACAAAAAATTCAAAATAATTTTATTTCTCTTTCATATAAATGCAATCTGAAGGTAGAAGTGCAGAGTTGGCACGGTAAATTTGTGAAATCATCAGGGACTCAGATTCTTTCTGTTATTGCTGCATGACTCTCAGCACTCAGCTCAATTTTATGTCCAAAATGACTGCTCAAGGTTCTAGCATCAAGTGTGTGTTCCAGGGAGCAGGAAAGAGGAAGGGGAGAAGAAAAGGCATCCTCCCTTTAGCAACACTCCCCAGGAGTTTCTTGGCCCTAACTTAGCCAAACGTGACTGAAAGAGTAACTAGGATATACGGAATCGTAGGCTCCCTGTGTCGAGCTAAATCTTGAGGATTCTATTACTAAAAAAGAAGTAGAGAAGGGATTTAGGGGAACACTAGCAAACTCTGTAATAGAGGAGAATGACTTTTATAAAGAAAGCCTTTAAGCCGCTTTCCTTCTACCCAACTACAGTAGCCTCCCTCCACCACCACCATCCACCAGGGATTTGTTCCAAGACCCCCAGTCTGAAGCTGAAAATAGTACAGAACCCTATATATACTGGGTTTTTTTTTCCCTTTGCATACATACCAATGATAAAGTTTAATGCCTTTCCTTCTTAACTAAGCATTTATCGATGCACTGTGGTTGTAACTTTTGCAGTTTGAGGTGTGACAAAACTAGCTCAAATTTCTTTTTCCTTCACAATTTTACAGAAAGAAAATTTATTCTTACCGTAGACCTTAGCAACCTCAGCACACAATTTTTTTCTTTCCTTATTAAATCGAGAAATTTCACTTCTTTAACTTAAAGGTAGCACTTTACAGCCTCTCTTTGTCATCTTATTCAGTATCCCTACTCTTGTGTTTGAGGTCATTAGTAAGTAAAATAAGGGTTGCTTGAACACAACTACTGCAAAACCATAACAGCTGATCTAATAATTGAGATGGCTAAGTGACTCATGAGTAGGTAAGCATATGCAGAGTGGATATGCTGAAAATTGACCTGGGGAAATTCGCCAAGTGGAAAGATGGCTGGGAGATACTTTTGTAGGAAATAAAAATTATTGTAGGTTATAAAAGACAATAAAAATCTAAAACTATGTAGTTACCACTGCCTCCCATTCAGAAAATAAACATGTAAATCAAGTTTTCTTGGATTGCATTTAGCCAAACTCTAGTGCTAAAGGTATAAACATTGTCTCTGTAATTTTAAGGGGGTTCTGCAGCACAGTAAATTTGAAGAGTATGCCATATCATGCTCCCTCATGGAGCTTCAAAAGACATATGAATATCCAACACTCTTGACAATTCTACAGCACAGTGACCTATTAAACATATCAGCATGTCTAAAACTTATTCAAGCCCTGAACATTTTGTTCTTCTCAGCACAACTTGTATGTATCCTGCAGAATCCTGTGAGACCTGTTTGGATAAAGCTTTCTTAATTCATTGAAGAAATATTTCCTATTTTAAGAAATGTCCATAGTAAGAGATCCCATGAATTTTCTTATTCATTTATATATTCTGTAGACTTCAGAATTATGAAGTTTCTTGGTACCTAAACTACCTGACTCAAACGTCAATCTTCCCCCTCCCCAAATTCTTACATTCTTAACCAGAAGGAATTGAGAATTTTCTCCCATAATGGCTCTTAGAACAACCAAAGAAAAGTATTAAATCATAAATGCACCTTCTCTTCTCTACCTTAAAGATCCTTAGTCACTTTTATAATTTCATAATGTAAAATTTCCACTTATTAAATTATTTGTTATTTTTCTTTTATAGGATATAAAGTATTTGTTTTATAGTCATATATTCTAAACAATCACTGTTTTTGGATTTTAGTCACCTAAAAATCAAAGGTCTGAAGAGTGGACAATATCTTGTAAAGCTTTAAAAACACATGAACAAAAAATAATATGACAATCCATCTGCATTTTCTCCACTTCATTTCATTGCAACATGTTACCCAAGTTGACTTCTCTCAGTTTAGAAAAGTCATCAAATGAAAACCTTTTGCTAATTGAGTAACAATATTGTGAAACTTCTCAATGCACAGCAGATGGCATATTTGCACATAAGTAGTGAGTGGACTATTGTTGACTCAGAATTTTTTTGCAATAATTGATATGACTTTTCCCCTCAGTGTTATGACATCAACACTTCATGCAAGAAACTCAGATGGGAAATGTTCACCTACGTAATTGAAACTATATTAGGTTGTATGAAGTAAACACCTGTATCTATTAACGAACTAAAGTCTAGTTTTCCATTTTTATATTTAATAAACATATTTATAAATATAACTGTATAATCTCTTCAAAGTTAATACTCTCTCTTTCCTAGCTGCATGCTCTAGTGTATGAAATACAATAAGCAACTAAAAAATAATCCCACTTATTAATTCAACTCTAAATAATGCAATTAAATAAAAACTCTAAAATTCTTAACCCTGATGAGAGTTGCTTAATTTCTACAGATATTACAAATCTCTGGGTTATACTGTTAAGCCTTCAAAAAGATGATAGATTGTAGAATAATTATAAAATATATATTATAACTATGTGTAAAGTACTGTGAAAAATAAAGAATACATAAATATTAATAACAAGACTCTGCTGATGTCTCCAAGGATCTCAGATGGGGTGGAGGTAGATTGCACATTAACTACAAAATAAAACAAAATGAATCTCCTGTAGTCATAGGCAGACTATTATAAAAAGTGAGCAGGAAGCATAAGCAAACCAGCAGCAGGCTGAGGAAGGAATGGTTTCTAGATAAAGATGCTGAGGATGGATTCACATGGGAAATTATGTGACATTTGAAGGTTTTGAGGAGTTAAAGAAAAGTATACTGTTCACAGGGACTGTCTGAATGCAGGCATGATGTTTAAATGAAAGTAATGTTCCAAATGATGAAAATAAAGCAAAGAGTGTGTAGTATTTGGAAGAGATGAGGGTCCAAAGTTAGTTTGGAGTTATAAAATGTTAGATTGATAGCATTTGTTTTGTTTGATGTGGTTTACTTTTTTAAAAGCATAAATATACTTATAATCACCTTACACTTATTTTGGATTATATAAAGTAAAAGTGTCTTCCCCAGTATTTTCTGCCTTGTTTAGATGTATTTTAGACAACAATATATTCTTCGTAGTCTTATAAACTTTGCCCAGTTTACAACAAATATTATTTTTATCTTGAAGTTACTTTTAAATTTCGGCTTTCCTAAACAACACATGCAATGGAGATATTTGTAAATGTAAGGTGCAAAGGAAAAACTGACTGTCTGGAATAAGACTTTTAATCTGAATTTTATATGAAGGGTTGATATTTGGTGAAATTATATAGACTGTGTAGATTAAGGATGGCCCCTGTGTAGGAAAATAATGAAATAAAATGACCATAAAAATCTTGGACCAAAACATTGAGTAAATGCAAACCAAGGTGATTCTATTCAGGACACTAACAAATGCTGACTAAAGTATTACAATTTGTAAGCATAGATAAATAACCTATATTAAGAAACTAACAAAATATTGTCCAAGTTTTATTTATCAGATTCCAAGTATTTAAACTGCTTGCCCTCTCACTTCATTGAGAATCTTGTTCAATGCTATCTCTTAGAGAAGCTTTCTTGGACTATTCTACTTAAAATAGCAGAATATAGGTTTAGAATGGAGTTCTAGGGGAAAAAAGAGGGGAAAAGTCAAAATTTAGACATATATAAAATTTAGAGAAATCTAAATTTTGTACATATATGAAATATTCTAACAACAGAAATTAATGTGCATATATTCTACTTGCATTGAAATCATTAAGAAGATCATATATTTTATCATGGGCTCTAGAATTAGCTACATTAATCATCACCTGAGATAAGTATCTATGCCAGAAAAATTAGAACAAACTTTTGGGGAAGAGGCAGTATAGCATAACTTGAAATAGTCAATAGTGTTAGAGAGTTCCTTTTGGTTTGATCAATTAATAATTAGTTCTTCCAACCTTGCTTCCCATTTTAATTAAATGAGCCCATTTACTTCATATTTATTCTGAGTTTAATACATATTTTGAAGATACACTCCAAATTGATTTGTTGAATCATGTGTAATTATCTTTGTAATATACAGTGATATGGTAAAGAAATGTAGGTGATCATCCAGGACAATATTTTGTATATATTAGCAAATAACATCATAACACCATTCTAGCAAATATGAAGAATGACTAAATAATTTTATTTCACAGTGAGAGAAACTAAACACTAATGGTTTACTGAAGATATTGTCATGGGTAGATGTTGGAATAAAATAATAACTTTTGTTTTAGCTCTATAAATGGATAATATGACATTTCTAGTATCATATGTTATTTCTGTCAATAAAACCATTGTTGTCATAGTTTTCTGCATTAAGCTCTAGAGCAGATTCAAATAAGTTCATGTATATAATTATAATAAGAGAAGGGAAGCATTTTGGTAAAATATTTTATTATTAAGAATAATAATAATATAATCATGGTTATAAAAATAACAACTTTATTAACTACAGAAACTTCATATACAAGTCATAACCACAGTGTTCCCTTTCGGGGTAAGCATCCTGCTATACCACTGAATAGGCAGCTTATCAATTTCCTATTTACACACAACACAAACAGTCATAACATCCACAGTATTCCATTTTCAGTTTCCTAAAGACAGAAACTTTCTGTGCAAATGGAAATTACCTACTTAAAATTACACTGTCAAGATTTATAAGGTCCAAAGAATTTTAACATGGTTTTTTTTTGTATTAGTAAATTCTTAGTTCAGAACTTAGTTGAACTTTGAAAGTTAAATTTTAGACTTTACTGTGAAAAGTAATTTAGTCACACCAAGACTGTGTCTTTTTATTCAAATTAATTTATTTTTCAAATGATGGTGTCTATAAATATGGGATATAATTATTTGAAAATAGTCAATTTTTGAACCTCAGTAAATCAATTTAATAGTTTTAGTCTGAGAGTTTATTAAAATTATTTACATCATGATCTCTATATTGCAGTATCTATTTTTAAAAATATGTTTTGAAACAAGAAAACACCTGACAGCAATTTTTAACTTCTTGACAGTGTTGTTTTTTAAGAGAATGTTGTGGCTATAACATTCACTTTGTACAGTACCATTGGTACCAACAAGAAATATTCACAGGAATAAGTGAAATACAATTTTGCTATCACATACCATTATTGTAATTTTTCTTGCCTTCCAGTGTCTCACATTTCCCACAGTTTGAAACACTGAGATAGCAAGCAAGAGCCTGTTAATATTAGAGACTGATTCAATAGAAACCACTGTACTGAGGACCTGCCCACAGCAAATAGGTAAAAGTCATTACATATTTTACAATAAAATTAAAGAAGTATACAAAAGGATTATTATCCCTTCTGCACGGCAGAGGCGTTATGACAAATATTTTAATTTTACATTACTATTCCTGGTAGACATAAGAAAATGTCCATAATTATAGCAACAAATGACCATTATTCAAACAGCCAAGACAAAAATAGCAAAGAAAACTTCTCATTTGAAAGAAAGTTTGGTCCATGACTCAAAATGAAATAGATCTTTTGAATAAATTGGATTTTTTATGTTTTGTAGTTTATTAAGAAAAGAATGCCCAGCCTCAATAGTAGCCCTCACCAGAGAGACAGGCAGGACTACACCCGGTCCTACCACCTAAAGGACACACAGGTCTCGCTCATCTGGCTTTTATGGTCAGTTCCTCCCTCCTCCCTCTCTTGCAAAGGGAGCTTCCCAAAGGGGGAGCGGCTTTCACCCCCACGTCTGTGGCTTATGGGTGGGGTGGTGTTACCCTTTGCTAAATCTCCCGGCCTTAATAGAGATCCTTCTAGAGAAGCTAGTTGGAGGAACAGGGATACTAGCTTTGAGTCATTCAAATCACTATTTTTAAAGAGCTTCTATAAGGAAGATTTTGTAAAAAGTCAGAACCTATCCTATTAGTCTTTATCTCATTTCTCGACAAATACATGATCTTTAGCTAATCACGACAAATACAGTAATATGATAATTTACTGATTATCATACAAAATACAACACTTAAGTGAATATTTCCCATGGTCTTAGGACAGATGTATGTAAAATTAATAAGATCGAATGAAGCTATCTTGATAAAATATCTCATTTAGCAGATTCAATTCCATTTTTTAAAAAACTGAATACAGAGTTTAGACAAACCATTTTCTTTCCTTTTCTTTTACTTGAATAAAGTTCTATTAGGATAAAAGACTTCCAGGTGGAAAAAAGTATTTAGATTTTTTTCAATATATATTTTAATGAATAATTTGAAAAAAAGCTATTTGCAAATCTTTGGAAACATGGAAATATTCCTCTGAAATAATTTTTTAAAATTAAAGAGGATGAGCTAGAAGCCAATCACAGCAAGTCTTTAATGGCCAAAACACTTTTAAATTTCAATTACATGGTTATCTAAGAATTTTAAAAAATACTTTAGGAAAATAAATCTAAAAATATCTTGCATAAAAAAGTGGTCCTAAATTTGGAGGAAAGAAATGATACTAATACACATATTGCCCTCTTCCTTTTAGGAATTAGAAACTACATGAAATAATCTGGATGATAAATATGTGTGACCACCTAGATTAGGTGTTACTTAACTTAGTGGGTCATGAAGACACCTTGAACGCCAACCAGTAGAGGCCACCTGCAGATTATATATCAGGATGAGCTAGTCATTCCTATGTTGCACTTTTCCTTAATATTTCTACTGGTCTTTAGAACTGTTTTTCTTAAGGAAAAACTGTAAGTACACACTTTCAAAATATTTAACGTTACATTAGAGACACCGCAACTTGAACTCTAGTGCATGCACATGTGTACCTAGGCTTGTGTATGTGGGTACATGTTCTTATAAAAAGTATGTGTACCAGTATTACAGGATACACGGTAAGGAGAAACAAATGAAATATAATGTGTGGTGTATGAAAAGTAATATAATTTAATATTGAGTTAAAATTTAAAGAAACAAGGTATAAATTGTTTTTGTGAGGTTAAAATAATGTTCAACTTATGGTTTATTCATTATTAAGAAATTAGTCTTGGAAAGCAGCGTAGAGATTAATTGATTTTTCTATAACATCGTTTGTCATCCAGCAATTACACCTTTGCATTTTTTAATCCATTCAAGTATATTCAGGAGATATGTTACTACACTTGCATGTACCTTAATTCACTCAACATTTACAAAATAACACTCACAAACAAAACAACAGAAAACACCCATAAATATTAATGAGTATCTAACAAACATGACACTCAAGTAGTTGTCTTAGGATTGTTTTAAGTGACATTTTAATTTCATGTTCTCTGTATCTTCATGTGAAAGAGAGTTGTATTGATGGTAGCTTCAGACACAGTTACATCAGCTACAACTGTGGTACCTTATACGTCAATATAATTTTATGTATCCATTTTGCATAATATGCTACTCTGACAAAAATACCAGGACGATTTGCAATGGCACATCCACGACCAGGAACAATGACACCAAGAACCATTCTCATTTTATGTTGTTCGCAAACAAGCGGGCCACCATAATCCCCCTAGGAAGAAGACATGTAACAATAACAACAAACTATTATTTTAGAAATAGAAATTCATTAACATTTTCTATATAGATTTGTATATCAAAGGTACATATTTACAAAAAAAGAGAGTAATTAATTTAAATAAAAGTTATATACTAGACCATTGGTTATCTTCTATTGAATTAACCAAATAAGAATGGGAGAAGTACAAAAGTTCAAAGTGTTCTATATTCTGTAGCATTTATTGAATCATACTAACACAGAGTCACTGACAGCTATTTAAAAAGGGAGATTTTATGTTTATTTTTATTTTCTTCTGATGTTCAAAATATGTTCAATATAGAAAATTTGGAAAGTGTAGAAAAATGCAAGTACCAAAAAAATTCCACCTGTAGTCATACATGTTTAATGATTAAACTGCATTAAATTTTTTCTTATTCCTAAAGATTTTTTTCCCTTCATCCAATCCTGCCTCTAAAATGATCTTAACAATTTAGTGAAAGAAAAAACATATAGTTGACAAAAGTAATCTATTTACTACTTAGAAATTGCTGTTCCAGCATAAAGAAGGAATGCTTTTGCACTTACTATTGGCATTAGTAGTTAATATACATAGTTATATTTATATTTTATACTCCCCATAGTGGAAAGCAGCCTGTGATTTTTATGGCATTTTTTTAATGGTAACCCTGTTATATCATCAGAGATAGATAGGTGACAGGTGAATAGATGAATAAATTGCTTTGTGTGTATATTTTCAATCACACATATACAAGGTGGGGCAAAATTAGGTTTACAGTTGTTTGTATGGAAAATAATACAATAATTAATAAATAATAATACAAGAATATGCTCTGTGTCCCACATACTCACAACTATAAAGCTACTTTTGCCCCACCCTATATTTACACATATTGTTGTATAGGTTGTATATTACAAATATACATGCACCATGTAGCCGCCTAAGATTGTGATAACTGGCCTTCGGCATCCGATCTGAAGCAGTGTTTGGGGCTATCTCAATGCTCCCACAGCAGTGAGGTGGTGAGATAGAACTAAACTACTGCAAAACTGAGCTCTGTAATACAGGTGGAAAGAAGAGGGGTGTCAGCCTTCTATGATGGGGAAAATCAAGGCGAGGGTGAAGTAGAATATAAAATAGTAAGAAAGAAATAGGTTATTCTAAGAGACTTCATAGAAAGTATGCCAGATGAGGTTATAAATCTGATTTTTAAATAAACTCGCCAGTAATGACTGATATGACCTCTTCAAAGCAATTTACTTTGGGAAACTTTTACTCAATGTAATGCTATTGCTATTATACAAACATTTGGGAGGTTTATTTTTTAAGTATTTAGATTTCAGGGGTTTCAGTGATTTATTGCCTTGTTTTAAAAATAACTGATGTGAAAAAACCCATTCTGGAGGACAAATGCATTTTTGAGAAGTGGTAGAATCAATTTGAAGTCAAATCTTGTCCATACGAATAAAAATAAAAAGTATGTGATAATGTGATAAAACTTCAGTGCTAAAGTTAGGAATCTAAGAATGTATAAGTGGTAAACCAGATTACAGGTTATTCCTGAAGAGCAGCTGCCAAAGCATTTTTAGTAATGTCAGTAGGGCGGGGATAGTGCATAGCTTCCTAAATGATTGCAAAGATTGGGTCTAGCTCAAACTTCATGCTCACAGGTTTCTTAGAGGAAGAAAGGGAAGGAGGGAGGGAGGGAGGCAGGGAGGCAGGGAGGCAGGGAGGCAGGGAGGCAGGGAGGCAGGGAGGCAGGGAGGGAGGTTTCTCCTAGCAGATTTTTCTTTGTTATAATGAACACAGTAATACTTACTTACTAGAATAACAACAAATTTAAAAGTGGTTATAAACACATAACCTGTTTCTAACCAAATCATGTTAAGCAGTTCTAAAATGTTTTTAACTTAATGTTTTCTTTTTAGGAATAAATCTCAGAGCAATATATGTAACACATGCATTTCTATACATATTAATACTCCATCTTTAGGGTATTTTCTATATGTCAAAAGACATTTTACTATTACTGAACTCATTCTGTGCTTTGCTACACATAATATTCTACAATTCCACAGCTCCCAGGCTTGGAGAGCGTGTCTCTTACATTGAAAATACATCTAAAATAACATTTTAACAGCTTGTCTATGTAAAACAAGGATAGGAACACTGCCAAGTTGAAAGAACAGTTGCCTAACAAATTACAATGTCCAAGCTCTTACAGTCATAGACTTTGACCTTTCAGTTTTTTAAATAGAATTTGTTAAAACACACACACTGGCTGAACCAAGAGCACATTTAAAAGTTTAAAACTAGACAGGTATTTCTTAAAATTATAATTATAGTTCATTTAGGGAGAACTTGGGAAGATCAGATAAACTTAGAAAACATTAGAACAATTAAAACTATTATATCAAGCTCCTACTGGATACTCCTAATTAGAACAGCTTCCTTTAGCATCCTGGTTCTGTTCATTTACTGGTGTGTGTTTTTGTGGGTTTTTTTTGTGGATTTTTTGAGAGACAAATGTCATCACAGTTTACTGCAAGTAAAACATGATGGTCTCACTGTTCAGTTTAAAAAAAATGTACAAGAAAAAAATAGAGAAAAAATAAACATGAGAAACTATGCTATTCATTACATATGTCTTATAACAAAAGTTCCCTTTTTACCTCACATGGTCCTGTTCCAATATTTTCAGCTCCAGCACATATTTCAGATTCATTCAGAGTCACCTTCCCTTGATGATATTGACTGCATTTCTCATTCCCCATAATAAAGAGATGTGCTACTCGTAATAGGCCATCAGAGTTGATCACTAGAATAGTGCAAAAAATGTACAGTTAATGACCACAGGGTGAGGTGAGAAAAATAAAAAACAAATTGCCTTATCTTTTTAAAAATAGCTTACATCCAGTGTAGCCCCAGCCATAAACACTGCAAGTGGTTTTTTCAGGAATTGTGCATCCATAATTAGGTAAATCAATTGTACTAACAAAATTATCTAGGACAGCAGGTCTGAAAAGAGAAAATATAATGGTAGGTATTCTTAATTGGATTCAACACAAAGTTAACATACTGAAATTCAATATTAATATTTAATATGACATTTAAGGAGAATAAAAAGTCATGTTTCTCGGAAAAAAAAAAACAGAGAAGAATTTTTAATATATAACATAGAAATCTGTAGTAGGTGGTAGAGAAATTAGTTATTTGCTAATATTTAAGAATAAATGGGCACTGCTATTTTTTAAATCAATATTTTACCTGTTATCAAATAACTAACTGCTCACTAATCTTTGATTTTAGAGTAGGTGAATGAGACTGTTGGCCCAATTTCACTTATTATTTTTGAAAATTTTGAAAATGCTTTTGTGTGTGTGTGCATACACATATACACACATATATATCTATATAACAAGTGGTTTAAGTTTTTATAATAAATCTATGTGAGAGAGAAAGAATATCCATATAGCAGAAAGAGCTTCAACAATTCGAGTCTCAGTTAAAAATATGAAACCTTCTAGAGGAACCGACCTAGCCAGCTTCAGTAACACCAGGTCCGACCCGTCCGGCCCGTACACCACCTGGGAGACGTTGAGGACCTGTTTGCGCTTCTCATCTCCCCTCCCGTGCACGTCATGAATTCCAAGCCAAACTTCATAGTCTTTTAAATCTTTGTTTCTAAATAAAAAACCCAAAATATAAAATATAATTTTAAATTGTATAAAGTTACTCAGATATATTGTTATTTTAGCTTACAAGAGCAGAAAAATCACCTAAATTTAAAATCTGACTCAAAGTATAATAAAAACATTTGTTATGCAAAATTCTGACTGCTGCAAGCACAGGTAAGCAGGAAGAATCTATAAACTGCTGAAAACTGGAATGGCTGTTTCAAAAAAAATTGATTATGCTTTTCTAGAGAGAAAGTTTTCTTCAGGCAAATAATATTACATGAATTACAATTTTAGTACAAAATTTCCTTTTGATCTCAGCTGTGTATATGTTTGGTTTCTTAGTGCGGGCTGAAGATTTATACCAGCAAAATAGGAGTGACCTTGGTGAGAATCAAGAAGCTAGCCTACAAATGCTGCCTCCATATCTTTTCCTTAGGCTAATTCTCATTGAAAATTATTCCCAGGATGATCTGGGAGCCGGCTCTACATAAGAAAGCAGAAGTGAGGATTGAGAGAAAGTTTTTGATCATTCACTAATGTCACCCCAATAAATGCAATAATAAATAAAACAAAAACAGGAAAATAATTTCTATCTAGAAATATAGTGTAAGAGGTTGTGATTAAATTATTTACATAATTCCAGCAGATTTTCCCCTCAAATGAGAGTAATGTCAATCGTGGAAAGAGGTGAGGAGAAGTAGTACCCGGTAAGTAAATATCAAGTCAAAGCAAGTTTTGTTAGCTAAATCTAAAAAAAAATTAGCTTTTTTACTCCATGCTGGTAAATCTCTATTAAATAAATACACATATGAAGGCTAAAAGTTAAGTGGAAGCCATATATTTTTTTAAATGCTCAAAACAAACAATTGGTTGCAGAAACACTTTACCGAGAAGGGAAGCACTGTCTTGCAGTAAGAATCCAACTTTCCTTTATCAATGATCCTCCGCAGATATGTTTATTTCTATGAGAAAGAGGAAAGAGAAACAAGTAACATCTGTGCAAGAAGGTTGGCTGCCAATTAATGCAAAACCTATGGCTATGTTTGTTAAGCAAATGCATTTGAGAGAAAAATGTAGAAATTAACCCAACTAGAATAAAATGAGTAATCCTTTTATCAGAAAGATGATACTGGGTGATTGTAGCATTAGCACTTTTTTCATAATGTGATTACAGTTTTATAAACTCAACTTTATTTTTGCATACAGAATCCTGTAACTACATACCAAGATCCATTCCTTGTGAGAGAAAGTATGTGCTACAAATATAGGATAATTAGAACAAACAAAAATATGAACAACAAAAACAATGTAGACCTATTCAGTGTTCGATTATAAAAAATGCAAATTTGAGTTTTTATTTAAACCCTAAAAAAAATGTGATAGTTACAATATAAAATTTGTACACGATTCCATTCTTTCATCACCATTATTTAGCTCCGATATGTTAACTCAGTAACTGAGTTTGAGTACATTTGTTTGTTCAGCTTAACACCAGCATTATTTCATTTATAAAATTAAAACAATTTTCCAAGACATATCACCTAAGAAATTATAAGATATTTGTGGAGAATAATAAATACTAGTACATTTAGTTGGTGATATCCCAAATCTGCAAATCCATTGCTTTTTTTTGGCAGAGAAATTTTTAAAAGTACAACTTTTCACAACTTACTTTTCCAAAGTGTACAGATGTTCAGTGCTTGAGAGAGTAATAGAAGAGGATTCCCAGAATAAGACTATGGTTATTTATGGCCTGTACCACACAGGAGGATAAGAGTATATATTGAGTTTTAATTTCTGTTCCTCTCAGTATGTGTTTTGGAAGAATAACTTAACAGCTGTTGTTACTAAGAATTTGGATTTTAAAAAAACAAACATTTTTTTCCTAAAAGTTTATAGTAGTTTGAACTAATGAAAAACAGTTTCACCTACTTCTCCATGGAAAGTTCCAGAAGAGTGTTCTCGTATATTGCATTGGTAATAATACATTCAGAGGTACATACCTTTTTTCTGGAGTTATGAGATTTGCAAAGAATCACTAATTAATTTAGAGATGTGGATTCTTGAAATATTTTCTATAAAAATTGAATGAAACACTCCCTCCAAATTTTACACCCTTCATTAAAGCTTCATATTGCACAATTAGCTTTAATATTCTGGTGAGTTTCACAACTCTATTTCAGTACTACCCACCTAGGACAGCTACACTATAATTATCAACATACATATTTATAAAATTTGATCATTTACTCCTCAAAAGAAAGGCATACTAAAAGAGAACTTTAGGCCATCTTCTACCTGGTATATATCAAAGGATTCTGTTTGCTAAGAATGGGCTTATTCATAAAAGAACTTCAGTTTCAAGTTGTCTTTATTCTACTTTAAGATCACCGTCATTTAATTGTAGTAAAAGATATATTTTCTTCCTCTATTCGAGAAGTCTACAGTTAAGCAACAGAGAGGGTTTCCCAAAGGAAGATATATTTGAGTTGGTATTTGAAGAATGAAAAAGATTTTCCAAGCTCAAAATATGGAGGAAGAGAGTTACAACATGCATTGAGAAGAACAGCACAAATGCTTGGAGGGGAAATGGAAGGTGTCCTAAAAACAAGAGAAAATGTGGTTAGAATTCAGGTTCATTTGAGGGTGTGTTGTGTGATGAGGCTCCAGTAGTGGCAGATAGTGACAAAAATATTTTAACATTCTGATTACCATATTGTATAATATATGGAGTATATAGAAAGTTTTAAGATCAGATTTTAAGTTAACTTTCATTTTCAATATTAAACTCTTACAACAGAATTACTAAGCTTAATTTTTGTATAACTATATTTTGCAAAGTGATTTTACACAGAACATGCCATTCATTCTTAAGAGCATTGAGAAACAGACATGTTAAGAAATTTTAACTACATTAAATATTATAATAGCAGGACTATTCAACCATCAGTATTGTTTGTTAATATTTTTCTTAATGGTAAAATATTTTAGAATTTAAAATTATTGCTGTTCTCATTAGTATGGCAATGAAAAATCAAAAATTTCAAACAAATATAAATTTCTGATATAATTATGCATAGGCATGTTAGAAAATAAAGTCAAAATATCCTAGATTGGGAAATTAATAACATATGCATTATAACTAGTCTGGTGATATCAAGGTATAAGTTCTCTGCGTAGATGTCTTTTGCTTAATCAGAACTGAAGTATCACTTGTAATTAGGGACAATGCCAACACAAATGGGACCTTTGTAAACATTTAAGAAGGTACTATCTGAGGAGGAACAAATTGCAAACTCTAGGACTATTTGGGAATCAAAATGTCCTTAATCCCCACTTGTGCTCCCCTCACATGGGTGCCCATGTGGAGGCACAATCTGCATGACCACATATGGCCATACTGCTGGGAATACACCTCTTGCAAATAAGCCAAATACATATGATTTTTGTCTATTAATAATTACCTGTATTTCAAACTAACCATCCATCCTACATTTGTTCTTGTTGGAATTCCATTTACAACTCGCAACTGTTTTGTTTTGGCGCAAGATATTACAGGATCTAAAAAGAAGACCAAACAGAACATTTTGACAAAACATTTTTAAATACTCTGTCTCTCAACTTTCTTAAATGTAATGGTAACTAGACAATTGCAACTACTGTAATTCTGTCAGAAGAACATTTTGAGGGGGAAAAGTATTATGACTATAGTGAGAAATCAAGCCCAAAATGTTTGCTCTTCTCATCTTAGTAGATGAGTATCACAGAGAAACTAATCAATCAAGGTCAACGGCATTGCCGGGGCAGTGACAGTGGCTTTCCTCACCCAGCACTAAGGACAAGTTACTCAGGTCTATTAGCAACGTTGTTTCCCTCAACATAAAATGAAACAATATCATTTATAGTGGTAATTTCTAAATGACAATGAAAATCAATAGCATGACCGAAACAAACAAACAAAAAAAAGCACAAAAGCTATATTGGGCTTATTACTTCTGAAATTGTAAAGCAAGAATGAAGAGCCATTTTGAAACAGGTTACCAACATTCTAATTATTGGAACTGTATCCAAATGACATAATTATTATGTTCAAATCATTATATCCAAATGACATAATACAGAATTCTCTGGAGTAAACTTTTTCCTGACCCTCCTCTGTGTTCCTTGCCTTATTGTGTCAATTACTGTCCATGGTCTAAAATTGATTTCCAATAGCTTCTTAAGCCTGGGACAAAGCAGGTGTCCTCTTAAATCAAAACACTTGAGTGACTTCTTTGAGCCCAAGAAATATGTGAATATTAAAAACAAGTAGCACTCCACAGATTTTTTTTTAAGCTGAGGATTAACTGAACCTCTCAGGCTGAGTTATCTTTGTCTAGTAGAGCATGCAAAGAGCTTTAAAGATAGAGTGGGACAGACACTCTGCATAATTTTCCAACCTTTTGGTTTAATTTCTTCTGATATTTGCATCTTTATTCAACTTAAAAAGATGAAGGTCCATATATATATATTTGGCCAGAATTAAAAGCAATGTAAATGCTTTTTCAGAGTTAAATGTAACGTCTTATAATTTCCGATAGAGAATTGAATTTTGATATTTAGTATGCAGTTACCTTTGTAATCCCATTATATATGCACATCAAAAAATTTTAAGTAAAAATAGTTTAACTTATTTTTATAATGCAAGTTGATATAATGATAAGATATGTTTCTATGAAGAATATAATGACATAATTTCTGACACATAGAGAATCAAATATACCAAATATTACTTACGGTCTAAGTTGACTATTGTAGGTGTGGTATCACCTTCACCTGTAAAAATAAGTATATATACATAATTCTTACATACATACTTGTTATATAAGTATATATACATATATACATAATTCTTACATACATACTTGTTATATAGAGCCAAAGCTATATATTAAAATTCAAATATCCATGAATTGGTTAATTTACCAAAATTATTGATGTTGTAATCAAAGATAAAATGTAATAGTACTCTTTTGAGTAATTATGTGTCGCTTTTACTGAACAATATTGAAGGTATGTGCCTACTGGTGATGTGAGGAAAGCCCTGTTTTATGACTGTGGAGGCTTTCTACTGGCATCAAGGAGCTGCCTCATTCTACTAAGATGCCCAACATTGTAGACAAGGACATTGAATAGCACTAATACTTACTATTGCTTGCTTGGGAAATTCATATAGATAAACTATATTTTCACTGTAATTTGGCCCATTGATTTTTTTTCTGAAAGTGACATTTTAAAAAATATGGTTGAGGATAATTGAAACTTCACATGCTTTAGAAAACTTTAAGAATTCTAGAAGATAGAAATCAATGTCACCAATGGGGAAAAAAAGATAACAGAGTATAATTTGTTTTGTTAGAATATTTCAAAGATTGGTTTTTCCAGATGGTAGTGAAAAAATAATATATGGAAAAAAGAGAAAACTAGGAACTGGAAATTAATTCTAACTAAAACTTCATAACTCATCTCTTTTTCATAACCTCCCTACTGGGGCTTGATTGCTGCAAAGAGAAAGGCCTGGTGGATACTAGGATTTGAGATACTTATGCAGTAATGAATGAGGCACAAGACATTCCCTGGAATTTAATGTCCAACTGTTTATAATTGACGGCATAGAGTTTAGTCAAGCAGTTTAGACCCAGCCGGTTGTTAATCCAAGGAAATGCTCTCAGCTCAAATAAACTGACAACGAAAGAATAATGGCCTATGGATTCCTTTGTAATAGATGCAAATTTGATTGTTATTTATAGGGAATTTTGAGAGAATTATACATGCTAAAAGTTTTTACTTAAGCTCACTTACCAGGTCTAAGGGTAAAGGCAAACATAAATTTCATTATTTCTCTTTCTGTTTAGATTATCCTGGGAGAAGGTTGTGTCTTAGAGTCAGTGGAGGTTAAGGTTTTAGTTTATAGTACAAATAAGGATTGAGACTGACTGTGGGTCATTAAAACATCAAGGATATTAGTTTTTCCACTCAAGCCAATTACTCAAAAATTCTAAAATAAAAAACTAAATATTTATTTCTTATGTTTCCTGATGAGAAAGACTAAACTATTTAATCTACCCTTAATTGCATATCAAGTTTCTATTTCTAATCAAGTTAATAGACCAATACAGTATTTAGTTCATTATTGTACCTTACTAAAATATTTAAATTTTAAAAAGTTGTAGATATAATTAATTGTGAGCTTTAATAATTAATACTAATTAATCTTTAATATTATATTATTGGTATTAATATTAATTAATCATTGATAAGATATATACAATATCGTTTTCTCTAAGCCAATATTTCTCAAGCTTTAGAAAAAGTTGAAATACCACTTAAAATCAGATTTCCAGAGGTTTTGGGTTGAAGGCTAGATTATGAATTATTAAAAAGCATTCCATGTTCCTCTGTTGTACATTCTGAGCAAACGTGAAAAACTGCTCTCTAGGCCAACAAATACTATTCTCAATTTTCCTCTTTTACTTCTTCCCCACTATCTCCACCATAATACTCAAATCTGGAAAAAAAAAAAAAATGATATGTATCTTATTTTGTATTGATTCAAGTTATATTTTGAAGAAGGAAAACATTTCAATGATAAAAGTTGTATCTATGGAAGTATAGGAGTGTGTGTCAGTTTATATGGCCTCAGAATCAAACATGAACAGTTATTGAAAATAAAAGAAATATTTTCATATATTCTTAAATTTTCAACTCAGGTTAAAAACTTTATGAACATCCTATATTTTTCCAGGCAGACATCTATGTTCCTATCACAATTATTTATTTTAATATTAATATATATTGATTAAATGATTGTATTTCAATTATTTACATAAATGTTCCCTTTCTACACTGAATACTATGTTAAGAAACATTGTTTATATTGCCGCATAGTTAGTATGTTATATAGGGCTTTGCACACAACAGTAGCTCAATCTTAAATTGTTAATAAATGAATAAACAAATACAACCTGAGATGTAAGTAACGTGCCCAAGGCACTTATAGTGACAGAGCTGGAATTTGTACCCGGGAAGCCAGAGTTAAAGCTCTTAACCACTACACTCTCCCTTGTTAAAACCTGAGATTTTTCTAAGCTATACTGAATGTGTGTGTGCATAGACTAATGTATAAACATTTCTACAGTTATAGTTTTGCATATTTGATAATCTTAAAATACATACTAAATATTATTCTGTAAGCATTTTTGAAAAAGTAATAAAAACCTTTACATGTTTTGTAACACAAATGTACAGTGCAAAAAAATGATTTATATAGTCTCTGCAGTTAACTAGAAAAGACCTCAAATCTTCTAAAGACAAATTTTATTATCCTTTCAACAGTGGTAAAATGTAAATAAATCCTGGCTATAAATATTAGTTAGAAAATGACAGTGTAAAAATATTTATTAAAATAAATGTTCGGAAAACATTGAAATAAAAATGAGTTATTTGCAATAGCATTTAATCAAATACTAGCAACACCTTAAAGTCTTTCAATAGCACATTACAATATTTATTTTAACATGTTAGTTGAAAACATGTTTTTAAAACTTTTAAATTATTAGAGTCCTGTGTCAGTTAGGTTTGTAATCCAAGGCAGAGTTCCTTGAGATTCCACGGGAGCATTTTACTCCTTGTGCTAAAGTTAAGCTGCTGGGATTCTTACAAATCTGGGATTCTGTGGGGAAAGCATTAGAGCTTGTTTTAAAATCCAGATCGTTGACTTTTTTCCTTCTCGCTAGATCATTGGATATTCTGCTAGCCTTTTTTTATTCTTAATCATAGAAACTTCACAAAAGTTTCCATGAGGTAAAACTAATATTTAGAAAAAATAATCCTTTTACCATTTTTTAAAAATTGTATGCCAGAGAAGTGGGTTTGTTTGCTTGTTGTTTTAGCATTAAAATTTGAAAGACATCTTCTGTAGAACATTTTCAAAACCTATGCAAACCCTACTATGGGAAAAATAGAACACCAGGGAAACACTAATTAATTTAAAAGCCTATGGTTATAGCTGATGAAATAAAATCTAATATTAATAGTATTTCTTTGTAAACGTGTAAGATGCTTACTTATTACTATAATTTCTTTATTAAAAATAAGTTGGAAAGTTCTAAGTCTTAATTATATATATACTTGATGAATAGTATATTTAAGGTTTGCTATTTTATGTGAAAATTCCATGAACTATAACTAGTGTTCCCACTTAAGGGGAGAAATTAACTCTTTAATTTGACATAATAAGGAAAAGTTTACATTTCACATTTTAAAGCAAATATCATTTCTTCAATCTAATGCCTCTTTGTAAAGAGGGTGCTTTTGCTGCTGTTTTCAAGGCACTTGCTACTGGCTTGTCTCACAAGAAAAACATTCTTAACAGACTCTTACTAACTTATAAAAGTATGTCCATTTTAAACGAGAAGGTAGTTTAACAGAATTTAAAGATGTTTGCTATAAACATAGAGCTGTGAGATATGTAGTCTAGTTCAATGGTCTCTTGCTACTGTACAGTTTTATAATAAGGCTTTTTCACTCAATAACACATTGAGGATGTTTTTCTATCTCAATATATCTTACTCTACATCAGTGGTTCTCAGTGAAAGGTGTTCTCCCTGTCCCCACCACCACCACCAAGGGGATATTTGGTAGTAATGTCTAAAAATATTTTTTTAATATGTTTTTATTGATTTCAGAGAGGAAGGAAGAGGGAAAGAGAGACAAAAACATCAATGAGGAGAGTCATTGATCAGCTGCCTCCTGCACACCCCCTACTGGGGATGGAGCCTGCAACCCAGGCATGTGCCCTGACCGGGAATCGAACCATGACCTGGTTCATGGGTTGACACTCAACCATTGAGCCATGCCAGCCAAGCTAAAAATATTTTTGATTGTCATGACTGGAGTTAATGGTGGTATAAGTGGCATGTAGTGGGTTACAGATACTACTAAACATCTTACAGTGCACAAGATAGCCTCCCACAAGATTTATCTAACACACAATGTAGTAGTATTGAGGCTGAAAAATCTTAGTACATTTGTGCATACTACTTCCAGGTAAGCTTTCCAATTCAGAAAGTAACGTAGAATTGAGAAAGTCGATTACCCAGATTGGGCATTTCCTTATTTGCCAACCTGACAAGTAGAAATTATTTCTTATGCTTTTATAATTTTATTTTTCTTACTATTAAGTTTTAATATCTTTTTATTTGTTTATTAACTATATTTATTCTTGAAGATTCATTTTCTTTATTTTTCTCCTGAATTTTCTTTTTCTTATTGACATATAGGAGCTCTTTTATATGAAGTATATCAGACATATATACTGTACATATATCTTTTACTTTATGCACTAATACTCTTTTAACAAAATGAGTTCAGAGAGTGGATGGGATGCTCCAGACTTCTTAATCTTGGGCTAAAGAACAGAGAAGAGGCACCACTATCCCAGGTCTGTATCAGATGATTAGTGGGCTCGGGCCTGTGCTGAGAGCTCTGCTACATTTAAAGGCTGACCAGGTAGTATCGGGGGTGGGGATGGGGATGGGGAGTTCTTTCTAGAGCAGTCATATCAGAACCATGACCAATGATTGCTTCTGGATTACAAATGAGAATCTTCTGAGGGAGGAAAATCTTCTTTAAAAGGCCAGCAGAATATCCCCTTGTCTAGATGAAAGGTGAAGAAAGCCATGTGAGTGTGTGCACGTGTGTGTGCGTGCGTGTGTGTGTGTGCATTCATGTGTGTGCGTGCATGTGTGTGTGGGTGAAGTACATCCTCATTAGAGGACCAAATGCAGCCCTCTTATTTTCACTTCTGATTAAGGTATCAATTTAGAGAATATGCAGTATACTTAAAATACTTCACCTGAAAAAGATCATCCAATATACTTACAACGAGAAATAGGGCAATAATCCCAAGGAATGAGAGGATTCCCGGTGTAACACCAGGGACCATGGGCATCATCATCAGGATTCCGGCAGTAATTCTTATTCAGCTTACTAGCATCTGGTTCCCAGAAGATATGCCTGCATAAACAACAGACTCTGAACCTCACAAGATGCTCATTTGGTCCAAGAGAAACAAAATGTCACCAAGAAGATATAAGCCTAGCACATAACTTCCATTATATATACAGCACAAGCTTCGACTGGTGTGAATTTTGGTTATTTTGTTTGAGATTTATTTTGTTGTTCTTACAGTTTGGAAGCATGTTCTCTAACTCAGGAATATGGGACAGGGCTGCATAATTAGCATAGTTTAAATGATGAAAGATTTTGCGACTTTTTTTCTATTTAATAATTGCAGTGGCAAGGTAACAATACACTTGTGCATAGAAATGGAGAAACATTGCCCCAAAATGAGCAGATGACAAAGAAGATCAAGGTTTTCAAATAACTAGAAAATATAAGCCATTGCAAAATACTTCGCTTGTTTTAAAAACATATGAAGCATCACTAGCAAAATCACTATGCAAAAATGCAAGAAGAAACACTGAAAAATTAATAATAAAGTGCTAATAAAATAGTTAAATTCTAAAATATCACTCGTCACTCGGCTGACATGGCTCAGTGGTTGAGCATCGACCTAGGATCCAGGACTACGCTGTTCGATTCCGGGTCAGGGCACATGCCAGGGTTGTGCGCTCCATCCCCCGTTGGGGGCGTGCAGGAGGCAGCCGATCAATGACTCTCTCATCATTGATGTTTCTATCTCTCTCTCTCATTCCCTTCCTCTCTCTGAAATCAATAAAGATATAATTTAAATAAATAAATAAATAAATAAATAAATAAATAAATAAATAAATAAATAAATAAATAAATTGTCCCTGGTCATAGAGTAACAAAATATGTTTTTTTGACAGGTAATTGAGTAACATTTTGGCTTTTCATATTTTACATCTTCACTAAATTTATTACAAAAGAAAAGCAAAAATGCTATATATTATTTTATAAGACCACTCCTGCTTATATAACATCAATATTTATATTGACCTCAACAACATTAGTGAAGTCAAATTCTATGTGGCCATCCTAAGCAAGTCACGAAAACTATACATCTAACTGGATGTGTTTTGGATTACTAATTACTACCATGTTTGAATGTAATTAATATATTATTTTTTAAATTGGGAAGAGCTTGGATATAGAAACTTAGATTATCTTTTCAGACTCAGGTTTATTTTCTGGAGCAATAACAACAGCAAGCACAAATAATACTAAGTTTCAGATTCTATGTGATTTACATATACAACCTAAGTGATACCATGCAACTTAATCATTCATCAATTTCCTGCAAATTACTTCCAAATGACTTTTAACTATTTCCAAAAGTAAACCTAAACTCAATGAATAATAGTTATAACCACTGCAATACCTAAATAAATATGTCACATATTTCCAGGGTATGCTGCTAAATATTTAACAACTAGCACTCTGAGGTGTATATGAAAGGAGTCCTTATATATTGCCCCTACTGATTTCTGTGGTGTAAATACTTCTGCCATAAAAAATGTCCACCTTCTAATAAAAAATCACTGAAGGCAGAGTTAATGCAATTGTCTCTCACAGGTCCCTCCATAAGAGCTAGATCCACTCTACTGCATTTCTAAAAATGATTTTTAAAATAGCAATGTTGAAGTCAGCATTTAATTTTAATCATGCCAATTCTGGCTTAAAATTCTTAAATGAATTCTTTAATGCTAAGAATAAAATCCAAACTTCTTAACACAGCTTACAGGGCTCTATACAGTCTTGCCAGTGGAGAATTCCTTGTCTATGGACAGTGACCAAATTACATTGTTTCAACCTTACCAAAATTATTTCTGACTTTCAAACGCTTTAATCTTTAGGCTTTTGCGCAAGTTATCCCTTCTGCCTGATGTACTCCTATATTTCCTTTTACCAACCCCTATTTATCACATATGTCCCAGCTAATGTCCTTTCTTCTAGGAAGTCTTCCTGACCATCAAGAGCTTAAGTAGCACTTCGCATTCCCACCCTATATAATAGCATTATATAGGCTATTCTGATGATTTTTACAATACAGTATTTGACATTGGCTATTTTCTGGCATTACATACTAGAATGTGAGACCTATGAGGACAGAATTCTGCTTATGCTTGAAGTCCCAGAGCTACTGGGTCCAATACAGTTGCCACTATCTACCTGTGGCTACTGAGAAATTGGTATGTAGCTGGTCCAAATTGAATGGTGCTGAGGTTGTAAACACACACCAGATTTTGAAGCTTTAGCAAAAAAATGTAAAAGATATCATTAATAACAATGAAATAGCTTTAAATATATTTGATTAATAATAAAACTATATTTATAAAAACAATTCTGCCAGTTTATTTTTACTTCTTTAAATGTGGCTATTGGAAAAGTTAAAAGTACATGTGCAGCTTACATATGAGTTGCATATTTACATTACAGAGCACTACTTTAGAGTTATCGTTATTTGTAAAAGTAAATTAAGTGAAACAATATCACCCACTAGTGAGTACATTTTTGAAGAGAATAAAGGCTTTAAAGTTAAAGTGGGACTGGAGGCGAAATGACTCAGCTTCTCTTGCGTTCCTGAAATTCTTATTCACACATATAGATATATCTTCCATGTAGGATTATAATGTCCAAATGCAGTAAGAACTCCTATAAAGCAACCATGAACTTTGATCAAATGACACTAACCTTTTTATCTTTTATTCTAGTGCATATATTCTGGAATATTTATTAAAAATCAATTTCACGTCACAACTATGTCTCACACTTCTGTAATTTCAAACACATTAGCACTGTTGCTAGGGTTGAGTGCAAGATAACTTATTTTTCTGTGAATGTCCAATGTCAACATCTCTACTTCTCTGGAATATATAGATTTTTTTTCCAATTACATATACATTCCTTTTATTATAGAAAAATTTGATATGTCAAAATAAGGCTTTATAAGGAAACTTGTTTTTCTAAGTTTTTAGTAGTTAGTTGGATATTAAGGTATGCATGTACATGAAAATAGTAACTTACTGAATTTTTATGAATATTAGCAATAATTAATTATGAGAACATAATATAACGCACTACATGAAACATGAGATTTGTCACTTAATTTGCACTGTTTTATCAAGTTATGTAAATTATTTTCTCATAGCCTCCTTCAAGATGGAGTCAAAAAGTGTACCCACTTTTTATAAATGTTCCCCATGGCACCTATCACAGAGCAGAACATATAGTAAATGCTCAATAAATATGTACTGGCTTGAACTTCTTATTTAAAAGCTTGATGCTTAGAGGTAAAATATTAAATTGAGTTGCATGAATAATCAATCTAATGTTTTTGTTAGCTTACAATGATATATAAATAGTGGAAAGAAATAGCAACGTGCATACCTGAGTGTATCTATTACTATTATCACTACATATTATAATTGAAAGAAATTTACACACCGGTGTAAGTCTTCCATGTTCTTTTCCCACATTGAGCACGTTAGTCCAGATCGTGTTTTGGATAAATTGCCCATATAATTTTTGCCATTGCCACGATAACAATCTAAACATAAATATATGAAAAAAAACTAGTGAATACTAAGGAATATAGATAGAACAAAAATATTTTTATAAGCATTGTACCCACTTTTTATAAATGTTCCCCATGGCACCTATCACAGAGCAGAACATATAGTAAATGCTCAATAAATATGTACTGGCTTGAACTTCTTATTTAAAAGCTTGATGCTTAGAGGTAAAATATTAAATTGAGTTGCATGAATAATCAATCTAATGTTTTTGTTAGCTTACAATGATATATAAATAGTGGAAAGAAATAGCAACGTGCATACCTGAGTGTATCTATTACTATTATCACTACATATTATAATTGAAAGAAATTTACACACCGGTGTAAGTCTTCCATGTTCTTTTCCCACATTGAGCACGTTAGTCCAGATCGTGTTTTGGATAAATTGCCCATATAATTTTTGCCATTGCCACGATAACAATCTAAACATAAATATATGAAAAAAAACTAGTGAATACTAAGGAATATAGATAGAACAAAAATATTTTTATAAGCATTGTACCCACTTTTTATAAATGTTCCCCATGGCACCTATCACAGAGCAGAACATATAGTAAATGCTCAATAAATATGTACTGGCTTGAACTTCTTATTTAAAAGCTTGATGCTTAGAGGTAAAATATTAAATTGAGTTGCATGAATAATCAATCTATTTTGGCCCTTGTCAGAAGTTCAGATTATTTTCCATAATACAGCCAGAATTGTCCAGTTAAAATTTAAGTCAGGCAGGTCATTTATCTTCTCAGAACCCTTCAACACAGTTTCTTCTCTTTCAGAATAAAAGTATAAATTCTTCCTAATCTTATAAGGCCTAAGCAGTTCAACCCAATTGCTCTGTGACCCCATCTCCTGCCACTCTATCTTGCTCAGTCTGTACCAGCCACAGTCATGCGCTGTTTCTTCCCTTTAAACTTTTCAAGCACTCTCCCATTTCATGCCATTTTCAATTGCAGATTTTCTCTACCTAGAATGCTGTAAGTGTGTGTGTGTGTGTGTGTGTGTGTGTGTGTGGCCCAGGGAGGGTTGGGGAGGGTGAAATGATGTCCTTCATTTTTTTGAATTTTTCATTATGTGAGATCTTCCCAAACAATTAATATGTAAAGTAGCAAAGCCCCTCTCTTCTAACTGGGACACTTTTCTCTCTAGNATGATGTCCTTTATTTTTTTGAATTTTTCATTATGTGAGATCTTCCCAAACAATTAATATGTAAAGTAGCAAAGCCCCTCTCTTCTAACTGGGACACTTTTCTCTCTAGCACTTACCACAAACTAACTTAATATCCCCACCTCTTTTTTTTTTTTTGCTTCTTTTCTGTTTACTAGAGATTATTTCCATGGAGTCAGAGAATTTTGTTTTGTTTCCCAGTATCCAGTGCCTAGAACTGTGTCTGGCACTGGTATACAAGCAAATAAATAATTAAATGTTGAACAAATTAATATGAAAAAGAAATCCAACTTTAGACTTGGTGACTCTGTTTGCTATCCAGAGAAAATATTACAACAAGGAGTAGGCCTTCTGCTGTAAAATGTGAGCTCCCTTTAAGCATTTCCCCTGAATTTATTTAATCATGCGCACATTGCAAAATGTCAACTGTTACCTTGTCCACTTGACACATCACATTTTGGAATTTGGGAGCAGTAGCCAACTCGGATGTTTGGATCAGTGGTAAAACACCAGGGTGACTCAGCCCCATCTGGATTTCGGCAGTAATTTTCTCTTAAGTCCCTATTGAGAATAAACATGTTAATGTAAATTACCCGAGTTCTTACATTCGTGGAATCAGCACTATTACATCTCTAGAACCTCAGAATGTGTGCATGTCTATAATTAGACTGCTAAGTTTTAGTTTTAGGATTGTTAGAACAATCTAGAATTCAGTACACACAATTGATACTGCCCCCATTACTGAAAAAGATGCTGTCAGATGTTGGTATTCTTTCCTTTCCGCTGGCCTGGTGTTCCAGACAAACACCACTGCTTCACAAAAGAGAGAACTAGTACCACTTCTTTCTTCCCATTCATTCTCAAGACTTGGACTCTCAACTGTTACAAATTTTAAAAACAAACCTGTTATTTTCTGCTTTTATGGCTCACATATAATGTAGAAACAACATGTATCTCTCTGCAGAATAGAGGTTAATATATAATAGTCATTAACTACTCTCATTTAAAATGCAAGTTTCACCTATTCAAACATTTGCCACAAGAAAACATCATATATATTTCTTCTTTAAATTCTGTATTTTCTTGATTTATTTCACTTATTACATACATTTATTTAACTTAAAGCAGTTATTTCTTGATTTAGAGAAGTTAACTAAACCTTCATAAGTATTTTTGTAAAATAAAGACGTAATTATAATATAGAAACCTAACTATAGAAGCTGTCAATGTAGTATATGTACATCCTTTATTTTACCAGTGATTTATTAAGTATTTAGAGTTTTCAATAAGGAAAATATTTTATACAAATAGTCTCTGTATGTAAAAGAATTTTAAGGTGAACCTTAATATAAGGTTCATTTTAAATAAAATATTGAGCTTATGATTTATTTTCCTAAAAAATGCTCTCTAATTTGAAACAAACTTGTACTTTCTTTTCTTAGATCTATGGCTAATCATTTAACAAAATTAATATTCAATCTATGGGAAACCACATTATTTACATTACTTAGGTCTAATTAGAAATACCTCTCGGCCAGTGTGGCTCACTTGGTTGAATGTCATCCCCTGCACTGAAAGGTCACCAGTTCCATTCCCAATCAAGGCACACACCCAGGTTGAGGGTTTGATCCCTGGTTGGGACGAATGCTGGAGACAACCAATGGATGTTTCTCTCTCAAGTCTATGTTTCTCTCTCTCCCTCTTCCTTCCTCTCTCTCTAGAATCAATAAAAACATATTAAAAAAAAAAAAGAATTCGTATAATTTTATTGCTACCCAAATTTACCATTAGAAACTGATAAGTTTTTAAGGAAGAAGCTTGGGTTTGGTTATAAGAACAGTGATTGTCAATAGTTAAGGCCACAGTATAGCAAGTTTTCATAGCTATAACCCATATTCAAGCCTTTAGCCTTCTTATAAAATGATAAAATTATTAACTTGAAAGATAAAGAAAATCTTTTATTTCTTTCAATCAATTTATACTTATGTTCCAAAAATTTATGTCAGTACAAACTACTTGCATTTAAATTTACATAAAGTTCACACGCACAGTTTTGTAATTTTAGATGAATAATTGTTTAGTTCAATTAATTTAAGGCAAAACAATTAAACAGAGGTCTAAGGCTAAAAAAACCCTCAGTTTAGGCCCACTTTAAAAATCTATATCTAATTACTAGTGAGGTTGAAAATCTTTTCATATGTCTGTTGGCTGTTTGTATGCCTTCTTGGGAGAGATGTCTGTTCACTTGAAACCTATATGATCCTATAAACCAATGCCATCTCAATAAATTTATTTTAAAACAAATAAATAAATAAAATATAATTATTTATCACAAAAAAACCTGTATAAAAATGGGAGTCAAGATGTGCCCAAATACTTTTGCAAGATTTTTTTCCTTTAGGAAGAATCATTTACAATTACTAAAACAGATTAATCATTATATGATTCATGTAGATTTATCACAGGCACATGGTTGAGTTATAGTTTTAAAAATTGTCATTTGTTAGGAGTCTCAGTATTGAGGCAAATAGTGTTTAAAACAACCAGAGACACCAGACCAGCACACTATTTTCTGCTAGGCCACAAATATTAAATGTATCAATATTCTGAGAAAAATGTTGAGTCAGATTTTATCTGCTTTATATTGCAACTCACTTTTTGTTTTGGGGGATGTGGGTTTGGTTATCTTGACCAAATAACTAAATTAATAAAGAATACTTTAAATTCTGATAACAAATAACAGCTAAACTTTTGATAATTTTTCATTGTGAAATGTGTGAATTAAATTTTTGTTACTCTCCTTTTCTTACAGATGAATTTTATTGGGTATTCACACACCCACAACTTCTTACTTGAGTATTACCAGTCCTTAGATGTTAACAGAAAGTTAACTAATCTGTCTTATTTTCTTTGCTTCTTTTACTTCAGTATTTATTTCTGAGGTGTGAAACACATACAACAGGAATAGAGAATGTACTGCTGTGAAGAAGACGGTGGGAAATAAACCCAGAATGACAACTATAATTTTTTTATTATAAAATAATGAAAAAATCATAACATGAATATTTACTGTCTAAGTAAATACATTAAATTAACTTAAAAAGAAACACATAAAATATATCCCCTCTCCAGTGATGGACCAACTAGTGCTCATAATTCTCCATCTTGAAATGTTAAGCTCTCTTATTAAAATCCAATTACATAAAGCCAATATATGTTATTTATAGGTGCTATTTCAGCAAAGCCACTATGAATGACACGTGTGTTATAAATTTCAAAAGCAATCATTTTATGTTCCCCATAACAAGGTGGACAATTTAAAAACACATGGCACTGTGGCTGTGTCTGTCCAACAAAAGTCAAGTGGTGAAAAAAAAACAGTCACAGAGAAGGCACATACAACTATATAACTGATATTCAAGGGAAGTTTCTTTGGCTTGATTCATCTAATCAATTGTTTTACTTTCCCATTTTTTAAAAGCAAATCTAGAAATAATAGAAAATATTCATTTAAAATGTTTAAAATAATTTTGTTTCAAGGCTGAAAACTCATCAGTTTACAATGTTAGCTGAAACCAAGGCATTCTTCTTCTAGTGGGAGAAAAAGTAGGTAATCTCCCCTAAAGTTAACATGAACATTTAAAAAGGCACTAGTTTGAAATTTGACTTATTACTTGGTTATTATTACCACTTATGGGCTTATTAAATAGACCTGCGATCAGAAACCTGTGTATGCCCTTCCCAAAGCATGGTACATCAACGATCAATTCAGAATCACCTAGAGTGCTTGTTAAAATGCATAATTGAGATCCAAATATCAGACCTAAGAAATCAAAATCTAAGTGGATTAATCTGCCTTTTAACTCCTAATTATCCCCAGGCATGCTAAAGTTTAAGGATCACTAACACAGAAATTAGTAAAAAGTAACCACCCTACCTCATTTTCCCAGAGTTTACTGCAAATTTATATTTGCCTAATTTACTCACTTGCACTTGAAATTTTCAGGAGTTATGTCATGCTGGTGGGGATACTGGGAATCCCATCGCTGACATGGAATTCCATTCCAAATGGTATTGACTGTGCCCCGGTAACCTTCTCCTTCACCTTGAATGCATTCAGTTGTTTCCATAGGGACAGCTGTGTCATTCATAGTACTGTGAGCTATTGGTAAAAAGAAAAACAAAATAAATAAAATCTTTCAACCTATCATTTCCTTCCTAGTGTTCATTTGCATTTGTATTATCAGGATTTTTGGTCACATAAATTTTTATAATAATTGAATGGAATAAAAAATTAAATTTATTATTATTACTATCACACTCAATCTAAAAGAGTGGGTTTACATGGTGGACTCAGCTGTGAAATTTTTCTCCTCATAAAACAGAATATTTTAGCTTGGCTTTATCTAAACCAATTTGAAAAAGCATCAACAAATACCACTTAAATTTCCTGGATCTGTCTACTCATTCATTATTAACATTAGATACAAAATCTCTCTATCAATTAATGCTTAAGTACCACATATGTTTTTTTAAAAAATTACTTTTCACCTAGGCAGGGTGAGTCAGTTGGTTAGAACATTGTACCCTACACCAAAAGGTTACAGGTTCCATCCCTGGTTGGGACATGCAGGAGAGGCAACCGATCAATGTGTCTCTCTCACACATCAATGTTTCTCTCTCTCTCTCTCTCGCTCTCTCTCTCCCTTCCTCTCTAAAAAAAAAAAAAAAAAAAAAAAAAAAAAAAAAAAAAAAAAAAAAAAAAAAAAAAA